ATCCTGGGCAATATGCTCTAGAGGACCCTGCTTGAGCAGGGAGGTTGGACTAGATGATCTCCAGAGGTCCCTTCCAACCCCAACCATTCTGTGATTCTTGATGAAACCAGCTATGGAGTCCTCCTCACAGCTCCTGGTTTCTTCTTAGTTCAGCAACCATGAACTGGCTTTGGATGCACCTTTTTGTGCCGTTCTGGAGATGAAAGATTGTGATCTTTTGTCTGTCCATCCTGCCCCACATCTGTGAGCCATTGGGATCTACTTACTGTCCTTTCTCTCTTTATCTGGATGTTTTGTGATTCCTACCCTGTTCTCTATCTTCCCATCATCACCTCCTAAAGACTAGAGTCTTCATTTTAGTCTGAGTGCTGGCTGTTACCTCTTTTAGGCTGTCCTTAGTTTCCTGAGCTGGAGGTCCCCAGTACCTGCAAAAGTAGATGTGTTGGGATGTTGATGACCTGCTAATATCAGCACCATCAACAGCAGCAATTCCTGTAGCCCTCCTGCCACGTGCTGCTGCTGCTGCTCCCGTGGCCGTTCATGCTCTATTCAGACCTGTCTTCACTTTGCTGTTATAGTTTTCTACAATTGAAGAAAAGCCTCTGTGGGTTCAGTAAAGAGATGACCTGTCTCACCAGTCCATTAGTGTTATGGAAGAAATTAGTGTCCTCACAAACAGGGATCTCTGGTTGATAATCTACCTCCTGAATTGCCTTCACCATTGATTCTTTAAAAAAAAAAATCATCACCACCACCACCACCAATAAACAGGCTGCTGTGGGAAAAGGAGCTGGTTTAAAGAGAAGAAATAAGGGCTAGGACTTATAGTCAATTTATCAATGGAAGGAACAAGTCCCAAAGATTCCTTTTGGAGCATATGCTCTTCAACAGTCAGAGATTACCTAGAAAGGGGGTGATCAGTGAGATTACAAAATTTGACAAAGGTATAATTCTCAAGCCAATTAAGACACAGAAGGTTCTCGTAATACCAAATAACTGAGCAATAAAAGATGAAATTCAGCATGGACAAATAAAAATTAATTCAAGTGGAGGAAAAAACCATGTATTTCCATACACAGTAACGAGCTCTGAATGAGCTACTATATTCAAAGAGATCATCACATTTAGATCAGTCCATGAAAATACCAGCTCAATAGTAAAGAGCAATGGAATACAAGAAATGATTAGGGGAGGCATAGAGAACAAAAACAGAAGACATCAAGATGCTACTGTGTAACTCCACAACGCAATAAGATTTTGATCAGAATAGCCGTTCTGCTCCATCCATCTGAAAAAGATCATGATGGAACTGGAAAAGCTATGGAGAAAGGCAGCAAAAACATCAAAGATTTGGGATGGTTTCTGTTCAGGGGACATCTACACAGAATTTCTGTTTTGAAAAAGAGAAGGCTGAGGAGTGAGATAACAACGGCCTTCCAAATCATTGTTTGCGTGGAGATGGTGACTTGAGGACTGATTACACTCACCTTGTTATTAGAAAATGTCACAGGCCAAAAACAAACAAACAAACAAACAAACAGCCCCAAGCAGTATTAAACATAAAGATATGATGTCTGGTTAAGAGCTACTGTCATTGGAAAATGAGAATCTCAGTGAAGTCCCAAATGAAGTCTCATGTATGACTGCTGTGTCTTTATACTCTTCCTAGGCATCCACTACTGGTCTCTGTTCCAATTTTCTTCCCCACATTGGTCTCTGTTGGAGACAGGATAATGGGCTGGATGGATCTTTGACCTGATCTAGCACAGGCTTCTTATGCTTTAAGTCTTGTTATTGAAAGTGGCACCATCTTCCTTTCCATCTCCCAGAAGCACTCCTTGGAACACACTGTAACTGTTCTGCGCCTCCTAAATCCAAGGATGAGGACATGATGAGCTATGCCGAACTCAGCCTCAGTATCTGTTCCCACTGCTGACCATGCCATCAGAAATTGGTCACAATTTGTCCACTCAAATCACATTTGCTGCAGGAAAGTTTGGGTCACTTGCACATTGTCCAAAGCAGTTTGCAAGCACCATTGTTTGAAAACCAAATCTGCACATCCCTGATGACAAGTATCTGCAGATTAACTCCTTCTGCAGTAATTCTGCACATCTCCAACCCCAGCAGCTGACTGCTGGCTTGCCAGGACCAAATTGGATCTGATGCATTCTAGGGTAGACAGCTTCCAGGTGAACTCTCAAGCTAGATGGCTGGCGCAGACCTCTCCCAAAATTTGTGTCCTCATACAGAAATGCTAGAGCTTCAGTGGGTTGTCCTTTAGCTGAAAAATTACATCTTTGCACACTAATAGTTCTTCGACCCAGAAACTTCCAAGTCACTGGGTCAGGTTGATGTGGGCAGCTAGCCCAATGTTTTCTTTGCTTCCCGCTCTGTTTTGTCCAGCACTCACTTCCACCTCTGATCTTTGGACCTAGTCATTCCTAAAAGGTCTTTCACTGACTCGTCCTGAATATTTGCTTCAAAGCGATGGCTTTAACTCATAGGTTAAATCCATCGATGCACCTGACAGCAAGCATGGAGTATAACTGCAACACCTTCTGACATCCAAGGCTGTGTGTAATGATGGCTGCTAATAACTTTCACTCCTGGGTCTGCAGGCAAGTCCCCAGAAGAACTCTGCCCTCTGTGGTATAAATTCATTGTCAATCACAGGTGTTTCAAGAAAGAATAGTGCAGAAAAATATAATTTGTGCTACAGATAGCAATGTGGATGGAAGAGGAGTAGTTCCGACAACCTGCAAGGTCCTTAGCTGTTGTGAGTCCCTTTGCTGTTGCTGCTAGCATAACTTTCCTGCATCAGCACCCCACAGGGTTTCTCTTGGCACTCAGTGATCCTTTCGCCTTTCTTGCAACATCTAAATTATTTCTTTCTCTTCCACAGATGACTTCACTTTGCCTTTTTGAATTGCACTAAGCATTTTCTATTATTTGCTCACAAGGAAAAAATAGCCCATTCACTTTTTTCTACTAAATCCCGCTAGTCACATTTCTTCAAAAATCTTGCAGTGAGGATTCTTCCAGTTTTCACTATCTTAGCGTTGTCTCTAGAGAAAACTCAGGCCTGACAGACCACTTTGCTAGAGGAAAAGAGGTCTTGAAAGTAGAAAGGTGGTGCATCATCAAACTTTACGCTTGGAATCCTCCATGACAAAGAAAGGGACAAATGAACTCAGCTTCATTAATTTCTTCAGAGATAGGTGGAAATTAAAGAGGAAAGACTTTTGTCAGAAGGCAGTCAGGATCGATGAATGACATCTCCTGAAAGAACATCACAACTGGCGACTGTAGCATCACACATGAGACACGAGGCAGTGTCGCTCCCTTTTCGGATTGCTAGCCCACGTATGAGGAACTTTCCCATTTCCCACATGGAACAATTGCATTCTCACTATTGCTTACGTTCGACAGGCAGGCTTAGTATAAATTATGCTTCTTCCATGCTTTCAGGAACATGCACATATGAGATGGCAAACATATGTCTTCCTCAGGGGTGTGAGGCCATTCACTGCTAGAAAAAATATCATCTCCCACAAATTATCCTCTTTGCTTTACATATTTATGAATAAAGGAAATGAACACCTGTATACACCTGTTCCATGAGCAACTCGGCCTCCCAGGCAGAGTCTGGAGTTCACTGGTCCAGCCAACGCAGTGCTTTCCTCAGGCACTCAGCTGTCTCACAGGCGTTCCTAGTTCTGTGACACTGGGGCTAAATTTCATGAGATACCTAGGCCAGCACAGCCAATTCATACATAATATTCTTTCCACTGTGCACAGGCCCTTCATTAGGTGCTTGCTTCCCTACGCTAAACTATGGGATTTCTGCCCCCAAAACATTCACTCTGTACAATGAGCCCATGGATGCCCATGGTAAAATCACCCAAACTTGTTTGCTCCATTATAGACACTTGCCTCTTCAATAATTTCAATCATTAAACAGCTCAGTTCCATTATATAACTTCCTTCTTCACCCATCACTGTGCATGCTCAGAGTATCATCTCCTCTATATTTGGCCTACCCCATGCTATTCAGAACAGGGACCATCCCTTTCTTCCCTTGTAAAAGGCTGCCCTGCCTCACTAATCCACTGGAGTTCTCCAGACAGTCAGTGTGCATACTAATAAGGGAGATAGGGCTGTATCAACCCTATTTGGCTTTCCAAAGTTTTTCAGCAATGTCTTTCACCGAAATCCTACGCATATACTAGGCATCCACATGCTAGCAAAGAAGGTCCTTGTAGTCAAAAAGCAACTGCAGAGAAACGTGAACAGAGCTCATCAATGGAGGTCTACAGGGATCTATGATGTTCAATAGAGCCAGCAACAGACAAAAAAAAAATAATTGAGTCTAAGACAATAAATTCTGCAGACAGCATGAAGTTATTCATGGCGGTAACAATAAAGGCTGACTTTGAAGAACTGCAGAAGAGCCTTACAAGTTTCAATGACAAGGATGGCAGTGGGCAAGGAAAGGCTTCCATACAACAAATGACAAAATATACAGGGTCTGATAATCCTGGAAAAAAGGTGCTCTAGAGATATGTAAAATCATGATGGCAAAGACAGACAGTCTGAGTGCTCATTCTCTCCTACAAAGAGAAACTTAAGTAGCAAGAGATGGATACAAATGAAGACTAAACAAGTTCATGGAAGAGAAATTCATCGAGGGTTATTAAAGATACCACATCTGGTTAAAGAAACGTGCCCTTTTTGCTTCAACAAGTAGTAATTCAACATAATTATGTTTAGAAGGGGAAAAAAAAAAAAAAGAAGAAGAAACACACACACAACCAAACTTCTACACTGCCCAGTTGGCAAATGCCTTACAAAGGCTTACAATGATGACTGCAAGAGACATGTATCTAATAACTCCATTAACACGCTTCCACAGGTGTTAGTTCTGGTTCCATCTTCACAGCTGCAAGACATTTTCTATAAATATCAGCATTATAACTGCCTAAAATCTAAGCCCCAGATTGCTTAAATAGTATTTATTAAACACTGACAAATGACCTTTTATGACAATTAAATTTGACAGTTTTCAGTAATTCACAAAAGCTGTCATGCACTATAAAACATTAGCAAAACAAAAAAATATCTATAATTGGGGTTTACAATTTACATTCCATTTCTAAGAGACAGACCATGAAATTCCACAGTGGGAAAGTTTATTTTCTAGGACTAATACATAAAGCTCTCAATTCAAAATATAGAGAATACACTAATAAAAGCGCTTATCCTCTGCATTCTTTGAGACATAAAGATGTCCCAAAAGCAGAATTCTAGACAACTCAGTTCTTATATTCCTGGTCTCTAGGAGGAAACTTATACTTTCCTAAATACACACATATTGTAAATCTCATTAAGATCCTCCATCTGCCAGAAAAACTTAAGTTCATTTAAGCATAGAATTTCTTGTTGCAGTCACTGAAGGTGAACATGGTCCAGATGACCAGCTTCAGTATTTCAGGTTTGCTGCATCTTTCTGCGCATCTCTTCTAGTGCTGCTTCTCGTTCTCTTAAGAGCTGTTTAAGTCGTTTTATTTTTTCATCCCTGATTGTTTCATCCAAATCTGGGGGAGTCAAAGGGAAAGCATCATCTCTGAAAGAACCTTCAATAACTGAAGTATCATTTTCACAAGACACTGAAATCGGAATACTTGAGTCTGTAATATCACTATTTTGAGAGCATGGGTCTTGCTCAGAGTCCCTCCCTAGAGGGGATATAACAGAGTCTGTGGAAACACTCTGCTGCAACAGGACTGGTGCAAGTGAAACACTTTTGTTGAGTACTACAGAACTTGGGCTGGTGTTTTCTGAACTTGGAGTTGTGGTTGATTTGACTGATGTTTTCCTTCTTTTTCCACTGTCTGACAGTAGTGAGGATTTCATTTTTCTTTTCTTAGACAAGTCCTCTTCCAGATCCACAATTATCTGTACAGTCAAGAAACACACACATACATACTTCTGTTAAACTGAGCTCCATTCTACATTACATCACAGTACATTAAGCACATACTAAAGAGTTATTTGTTGCAGGCTTTTAGGATTACTGCATGGAGGTAGTTTCCTTTAATAGCTTGAGCAAACACACTTCTTTCTATGTTCATTACTGTCTACTGGCAAAAATTCCCAGGTCTATGATTCCGGAGCATTAAATTCCTTCCCTAGTCAACAGTCCACTTTTGCCTTCTCTGTACATAACTACCATCTCCTACCATTGTTTAGCTTAACTTCTTTAACTGGAACATAAGATAAAAAGTTTTGCCTATCAAGGGAATCTAACTTGATGGGAAGATTCAAAGCCTAGAAGAATTCTTCATGTTCACATTTCCAAGTACTTTACTCAGAAAAGGAAGCAGATCTGTTCAAAGCAGGACTCTCAACATAGAATTATTAAAACTTGAGAAAGCCTTTGACTGGGTAGAGTAGAAACATTTAGAGGGAAATTTAGAGCACTGTGGAGATGAGCAGAACCACTGTGGATGGATAAAATCACTTTAATGTATTAAGATGGAAGTCCTTATATCTAGAGAACCTTAACTCTAAAGATGTAGACAGAGACCAAATTCTATTTCTTTTAACAAAAGCACACTTGATGAAGTGGATACCTCGCGTTGGAAGTGAGCCACATCTAGTCATGTGAGTGACTGAAGAACCTTGAAATAATAGCACTTGCCTGATTTCAAACTCTCCTCTGTTCAAAGGTAAAGCTTTTTAAGAATTAATTATTCTTCATATATCCATGGCACTACTGAATATAAACAATTGTTTGCAGAGGGCTAAAGGTAGATAAGGTATTGTACTCTAGCATACACAGGTATAGTTTCTATTCAAATAAAGGCTATCCTTTTGACTGTTCAGCCACCACTAGAGGGGCTAGTCTTCTTCAAAGCAACTTCTTCAGAGTTTTCTGAAGTTCCTTCAGCTGAACCCAGAAAAGGGGAGAAAAATTCTCAGAAGGTACTGAAGTTGTATTGAAACCACATAGCTCTGAGCTCTGTTGCAGTAGATAAGTTCTAGGGACAATTCTCACAGGGACCATAACAATTACTAACTTGCCCTGAGGGATCCAGGGGATGAGGAGGGTTCAGAATAAACATTCAGCTCTGTTCTGCCTATACGTATGCTACTCTCTAAATGCGCTGCAGAATGCTTCATTTATCACGGAAAAATTTCAAGATACCTTTTCCTCTTCAACGCATTCCTGGTGTTGATTTGTTATTCCCATATCTAGTGACAATGAACTGCAAGAATCATTTCTCCTTTTCAAGCTATTACTGGAACACACCCTTTCTTCTGATACCTCACACGAGGTCCTTAAGGGTATTCTCTTAAGGTATACTCTCTCCTCTTTAGAGAGACCAAATCTTTTCCTTAATTCCAAGTACTGTTTCCAGTGTGGCTTTTCTTGGTGTTTGATTTGAATAAACTTTCCTGGTGAATCCATCTTCTCACACCGGATCTGAAATACATAAACGGTGAGAGCCATCAATCTCTCTGTCTCTCTCTCTCTCTCTCTCTGTGCCTTTCCATATATCTATCTAGCTCAGATTACTAAAAACACTGGTAAAAGGTTTGCTGTCATTTTCTAAGAGTTACATTTAACATATGGAAGCCAATTTTGAGAAATTATATATATATTATCATAGATTTAACATCATTGTTAGTTATTTAAAACCCTGAGTACATTGTGTAATAGCCAGAAAACACACAATCAACTAACAAACCATAGAAGTAAAATAAGCAACAAGGAAATCACTCATCCTAAAGCTTCAAAGTAACAAAGAAAGATGACGAATGATCAGAGATAACGTTCTTTACCGTGTCCCTTTCAGACCGTTGAAAACATTCCATATTTGCACTGTAGTTGATTAACAGAGCACATTTAGCAATCTCGTGTATTTAACCTCACTGTAACATGAACCGTTTCTAATCCTCAAGGCCAATCTCACATCAGTATGTCTAGCACCCATGCATTTCCAAGTCTATGGACTAAAAAAAAGGAAAAATAAGCAGCAAATATCTGATATGCTATTTTTCACAGAGATTAAAGCAAATGAGAATGTTAACACTGGGCACTACACAGCACAAAAGAAAAAAGGTCTACTTGAGCCATGTTTCAGGTGAGGAACAACAGAAATAACTGAAACGTCTAAAATGATTATGTTTGACCAGGCAGAAGAAAAGTGTCAGCTAAGCATATTTATGATCAAGCACAAACTGTCTTCAGAGCAATTTTTCATCTGGAAGTGAACTCCTCCTGGCCTTTTGAGCTGCTGAAAATCTGACCTGCAATTCTTCACGGGTACAGAGCTTGTGGGATATGAGGTCAAGGATTTTCTAGATATTCTCTAGGTCATATTATAAGAAGAGTAGCATAACGGTGGAAACAACTGTTGGCGTTAAAGCTCTCAGGAGTTTCTTCTGCCTGACATCAACCACAAGAAAAGGTGGTGGATCTCTCCCTATCACAGCACAAAAGGAAGGAAATGCAACTCCTGCCTTTGGTTCTCTCAGCTACCAGAAACAGAAGCTGACTTAGCGTAACACTGCAGTTTGTCTCAATGACAAACCCTGCTCTTCCACCTTGTTCGCTCTCATTTAGCTGCAAACTCCTTTACGTTATTTCATCACACCTACACCACAGTCAATGCTTGCTCTGCTGCAAGAACGTGGCAACACAGTAGAGATCAACAACATTAGAGATCAGATAACTGCCAGAGCTCAAAAGAATGAACAGCTTCCCTACAGTTCCACTTGCTATACATAATTTATCCTACAAGGAAAAACAAATCGTCTTCTCTCTGCCCTTTTCATTTCCTTATGCGTGTTCTCGTTTGCATAGCGCAATCTTATTAAAACAATCTTTTAATTTTTTCCAATCAAGAACCACACTTTAGGCCAGTATTTTTGGTGCCAGGACACCTGTTTTAAAAAAAAAAAAAACTGTGAACTTAATTTTAGCTATTTCATTCAAATAGAACCAGGAACATATAGCAATTTAGCACAGACTGAGATTGGCACATTTTATTGGAGAGAGTTACCTTTTGCCAGTCTTCACTGAAAGCACAGTCTTGTTTAGACTGAGGTAAAGCAGCAGTTGCTGCCTTGGGAGAATGGCTCTTCTCTTTGCCATTTTGGTATATGTTTTCCTGTGTCCCTACTTCTGTAATAGGGGCCACTCCGCTTGAAATGCTCTTGCTGATGGGCAAACTCTGTCCCTGGTTTACAGTGGAATTCTGCTGATTAACCCTTGGTGTCACCAGAAATGCAGACGCAGACATTAAGTCTTTTCTTAAGCCAGCTGGTGAAGCAAGTTCTGATTTTATGCATGTTTTTGGATCTTTCTGAGACAGTACCATTCCTTTGTTTTTTGACAATACCAGATTCACTACTTTACTGGTTATTTTAGTGACTGCATCAGAATCAATTAGTTTAGACGCCTCCTTCCTAAGCGAAACATCAGGAGAGGAAGATGCTTGTTTGTCAGGTTGGGCTGACAAAATATCAGAGCCTCTTTTGGTCAACAAATAGACTTTCCCATTGTACATGACCAGAGCGTTATCTTTAATAGGCATGATTTTTGTTTGGCTTCCACCAGTGGAACAGAGTGGTAACATATTTGCAGAGTTAACTTCTACATTCTTCATATCTGCCAAAGTCTTCAAGATCTTGGAAACCATGTTGTTTGATGACTTTACAGGAATAAGGCAAGGTGCTGATGACTGTGAACTTTCTTGCACAATCCATTTTATTGGAGTTTGCTGGCACTGCTGACCATCAGATGTTACTGCCTCCGGAGGAGAACTACTTGCCTTCTGTGCAGTTGTCATTATTAATGGTTTTGAAACTTCAGTGGCAGGTTTTGGGCAAATGGCTTGCAGACGCTTGGGAAGTACTGTTTTCACTGTGTTCACTGGCGATACGTAAATAACAGTTGGCATTTTTGTACTGTCAGCTCCTCCAGGTGAATTTGTTGCTGCAGCTGCAAGTATTTTTTGCTGTATTGCAGGTGGTAAAGAAGAAGCTGGAACAGATTTCACTTCTGCATCAGCTGGTATCTGGAGGTGGTGGCCGGAGGGCAGTACTGGAGACTTCACAGTCACTGGAAGACTTTTCGTGTTTACCAACATGTACGCAGTGCTACTCTGGTTAGATGAACTTGTTACAGCAATGTTCTGCAAAGACAGTCTATCAACTGAAACACAACTGCTCTGGATGTTAGCAACTGATTTTGCAGTTAAGCTTTCGTTTTCAGAAGCTGCTCTAACACTTTCCTGTTTGTCTAATGTCCTTGTAAGAATAATCTTTCCAGGATTAGCAGACTGAAAAACAGGTATCTTAACAGATGAAGGTGAAGTAGCATTGGGAAGCTGTGTCTTAAAAGTAAGATGAACTGGACTAGAAATATTCGCTTTAGGATTATTTGGCATGGCTGAAGACTGAACTATTGGCACAAAGCTTCCTGAAGATTTAGAAATTGGAAGTAATTTCAGAAGGTTTTTTCCATCTGGTCCCGTCGTCTGAACTACTCGGTACATACAGCCTGCAATGCTTAACAAAACAAAAGAGAAAAGAAAAAGAAAAAGAAAAAGAACGATAGCATAAGTGAACACAGCATAGATACTTCAATTAAAGTGCACCAGTGAATTGTATACCCAGTGCTGCTATGCCTTACAAGCACATTAACTACAGAAAAATGCCCGATCTAATCTTCAGGAACTTCACTGGCAAAATTATACTGATCTACTTACTGTACATTTTGAGTTAGCATTTCAGAATATCATAGACTATCTGAAAATAATATCCAACTATTATATCACAGAGTAGCAAGGAATGGTATCCTTTTCAGATCAAAATAATTTAAAAGATCCCCAAAACACCTCCAATTATCTTCCTCTACTATTTATAGGGCCTTTCTTTCTAAAACGGAAAATAGTTCATTATCTCTAGATTTCACAGAGAAGCTGTATTTTTTGCTTTCCTATTTCCCTGCTACTATTAATACCCCCTACTTAGTGCTAAGAAGTAGGGATTTTAGAAAAGCTTTAGGAAAATACTGGCAGATTCGTTGCATGGCAAGGACAGAAGCAGAAATTACTCCAGACATACACAGAAAACAAAGTTAAGATGCAGAATACATTTAATTTGTGGAATAAGAGGTAGGTGACCAACTCTCATGCCTACACCTCACCTACTCACTCATTTCTTAGGCAGATATAGACTAGGAAGCTTGTCATCTTCAAAGAGAGGGCACAAAGAGCAAGCGTGATCAAAGCACAAGTGGAAGCGCTACAAAACTTATGAGAACAGAAGTCAAACTCTAGTAAGTAGAGGGCTTCATAAAGTAGGATTACAGGGAATCAGCACCAGTAAAGTCTGAAGAGTACAAACAGATTTGTGAAGATTAAAAACTCAAAACAGCAAACAGATAGATACAACTTTGTCAGTCCAAAAGTTAGTTTTGATCATCTCAAAGGGCAAGATAGGAATGACAAAAGACCTTTCAAGTTCATTGCGGGACAGAGAATCTTTCCTGCTTCAAGTGAGTTTGCCTGAATGAAGGCATCTTCCCCAAAAACTCTTGGATTCTCAGCAGAACAATCTAACGCCCAAAGCATTGCAGAAGTGACATGGCAGCTTGAGAGACATAAGAACAAAATGGGGTTTCTCTCACCAGAAGAGGAGAAAAGACCCAATGAAATGAAAGTAGGTTTCATTGTCTTGATGTCAGATCCAGAATGACTAAAACACAAAGCTGCCAACTCCATTTTCAGTCACCAAGAGCGTTTTAGCTCTGCCCTATTGACTTTCCACATCAATTAATGCCTTGAGAACAAGGACCTGAGATTATTTGCAAATCCCAGTCCAGATGAAAACAATACTGAGATCTGTTTACTCTCAAGTACTTTTAAAACACTGGCTTTTTTTTTTCTGGCGGTGAAGTAATAGTTAAGGCTTCCAACTCAGCATGGAACAGAGTGAATAGGAGATACCATTCATGAGTCCAACCGCTGCATCTGCTCAAGAAGTCAGTCAAGATATTGTCTTTTCCCAGCAAATGACAAGCCACAAGGGTGCTCTTCACTCCCAGAGTAGGACAGCTCCTGCTACAGTTTGAGGGGTCAGGTTCCCTCAGGTGGCTGATACACATAACCATGCTATTGTCTGTCTAAAACATGGAAGGCTTTAGACATGAAGAGTTTTCCTTGCTGCAACCTTAGAATTAACTCCCATGTCCAATGCTTTGGCACAAAGCCTCGTTTCTAGGCATATGGCATGTCAAAGCAGACATTGATGTGACATATTTGTACAAGAGGCAGGAAATTCTGCAATACTTTTGTTTTAAAAATAATTATGTACTGAAACTGAAAAACACGGGCAATATATCACATAGTTCCTTGTGGAAGAAGTCATCAGAGGTTTTAGTAGTAGAAGGGAATCATTTTGGAATCAGAAATGATAACTGAGAAAGACTAGCACTGAAGGTAGTGACTTCACCTAAATATTTTTACGTAAACAAAAAGCAGCAATTAGATACATCTGAATGTTTGAACATAATTAAAGCAGAAAAGGCTCACTTTTGGAGCCACTTTAAACCTCCTAGTGCTACTGATAAGGTAGACTTGGAAAGATCAGCACTGAGCTCCTGGACAGTAATTTGCATCTGTACCTTTTTATGCTTTGAATGCTTCTCCCATAACCCCATGATCTACGTTCCCTACCCTTCTTCTCTTCTACATATAAGAATTATTATTCTGAAGGAGAATTCAGACATCTATTTTCAACAAGTTCTGGAGACATGGAACAGCTGAACCTCCTCAACCGTTTCAATTTCCCAACGAGCAAACAGGCATTTAAATGCCACTCAAACTAGCTAGCACTACACAAAGGCATCAAAAGGCAAAAGAAATCTTTCAGCAGGCATGCTCCTTCATCTGTCACACACAGTTTTTTGGGGAGGAGGAGGAGTGGTAGATTTAAGAGCTGGGAAGCAAGGAAAAAATAAAAGAGAAAGAGAGAGAGGAGACAGAGGATGCACTTACATAAACCTTTTCTTCAGCAGCAAAGCCAGTTTCTGGTGCTCACCTCCACTCTTCTCATTTCTGCCCTGCACCCCTGTATACCTCCCTTTCAGCGGTACTTTTAAAAACTGTTTTTTGAGGCTGTGCTGGGAACAGGATCTTTTAAGTAATCCAGCTTGGGAAGAAAACTCCCCTAAAAGTCCACCATTTGTCTGAAGTCCAGAATCATTCTACTTTGCATGACTACAGAAGACAACTGTAGCTTTTTATTTTCACACTCAAAAAGAGCAGGAAACCCAAAATTATATTACAGTTTTCTAGACAACATTCTTCTATTTGCAACAAATTCTTTAATAGATACTTACAGGATTGTAGAAATACAAAAGGCTAAAAGATAGAAAGAAGAAAGGAAAGGAAACATTCAAGTGAGATATTGAGAAGTCTTGATTATACATATCTACCTCAAACGTCTATGAAACAGTAAGATTTTAGATGCTCTTGTTATTTCAGATACATGTTGAGAATGCGTCACCATATATATCTCATGTCACTAAAGACCTCTGATGTAAAGACATAAGTAGGAGTGACATTTCATATATAATCAACACAAAATAAAGCATTTCCAGTCTTCTTTATACATTTCTGAGTGATGAAGAAGAGAGCTAAATGCTATTTTTCTCCACTCAGTAGGCCATTTTTTCTTTTTTTAAGAGTATTTTTAAGAATTCCTCAAGCAGAATGAAAAATCTTTCCAGCAGTTTCTCCCCCTTAGCAGTGTGAGAGTAATTCATGTTAAATGAGACTAATCTCTTTTCCTAAAAAATTATTAATAGGAAGTCCACAAATTGTGCAGAGATTAACAATTTCAATACTGTTAAGGTAGCACAAGAACAAATAGAAGGATGGTCCCAGCTTTCAATTGTATGTCATATATTTCAGATTATTTAGCAATCCTGTTGTCAAAAAAATTCATTTTTTTTTTATAATTATTGAATTAGGTTTTTTTCTCCCTTTCATCCTCCTTCCCTTCTCTACTCCCAAAATAAAAGCAAGAGAGTTTTATACAACTTCACTTTCTTCTAATAAGCCCTCACAAATGTCACTTATACACATAGAGAAATCTTTCTATTGTTATGGTGTTGTGATACTCTATGCTCAAGCCTTGAGCAATGCTAAGGTAGAGCCCTGTAGAAAACTTGAGGGCAATAAACTCCTGGAAGGAAAAGGGGAAAAGAGTGGTCAAAATTTGTCTCTAATGCCATCATATTAACTAGTTAACTATTAACTATTGGTTGTTTTTTTTAAAAAATGTTGTTTTGTGACATTGACAGAGGGACAGAGAACTAGTCAAAGAAGGTCAGATTTGCTTTAGCTGAACAGCTGGCATGGCAGTATTCCTACTCAAAAATGGGAATGGCATTAAGCAACCTACAAAAGCAGAGAGAACAGAAGGGTACAGATACTAAGAATAAGCTTTTAATATTATTTTTCTACAAGTCTGGATAAATAAAAATAGCCTAAGTTTCTCCCAGCTGGAAAAAAATTCCCATTTTTGTCATTCATACAATCAGACACACCAATTTCAATGTTGCCTGAATGCCCCACTCTATACTGTTTGCTACTCTTACTAAGAGGTAATCTCAAAGAGTAGAATGCCAAATATCTAAAAATTAATCTTATGTCCCTAATTTTTGCCATACAGATATATTAAGCAGGCCTTAACAAAAATGGTTTTGGCATATTTTCAGTGAATAAAACAATTCTTCAAATCCATTGCAACCACCACAGCATCCCAACACATCATTTCAATAAGTATCAAGATCTTGCCTAATGTGAAAGCCATCTAGAAATATACGAGTGGAGATCAAAAACAAATGGAAACACTTGCTTAAGCTTCCATTATACTTCAAAGCTGACAGAAAAAAGCAGCGTCAAGCGGCGTTGTAGTCTGCCTTTATTCCCAAGTAATACTTTAGGGTAACTTTCATCTTCTATGAATAAACCAAACAGGGACAATCAAGCCACTACAAACTCCAGAGAATTAACTTCCTTTATTTTAATGGGTAAAGTTGAATCCTGGAAGCGGCAAACTAACACTGATTATAAATTAGAAGCATACACCAACAAACAAAGTAAAATAAATTGATTATAGTCCTTATTCATTTTATATGGCCATGTTTTATCCATGTATTAACTGAATATTATGATAAAAAGAGTTGTTGTTATTATATGAAGGAAATCCAGAAACTGATGCTGAGCTTGCATAAGAAAGAAGCTACAGAAGCTAAGAATCTTGTCCAGAATTTAGGTTCAGAACATTCCTAAAGACATAACATATTATTATAATCCAGTAGCTTTCACAGACAGCAGAAGTAACATTTTCTTCTTGACAGTAATTCTGTACAGAAACCTTTTCATGCATTGTGGAACATTCCTGGTAGCACAGATAATTATTCCGGGACTTGCTAATTGCCAGGAAACAGACTGTGTGCTACATACTACAGCTCTACCAATTAAAGACCAGGTCTTCTTTCAGCAATGACATTTTTGGCAGAATTGCACAGAAGGTCAACAGAGACAAAGCTACAATCCCATGGCCACAACAACCACCCATTGGCAGCCGTTTGGCACTAAGTGAGCTAACCGGAAACTCTTAGGCAAATAGATGCAGCAGTAGAGCACTCCAGGGAGATTACAAAACCCAGCTGAGGCCAACTTGCTACTTGAGCGCTCAGCCCATCTGAGCTGCGCTGCCAATTTAAAGCTCGCTTGGGTACGTTTCCAGGAATGTAAACACACATTGAGTCTTGGGCAGCTTAGAAAATTCTCAGTTGCCTTGGCATGATTGCACTCAAGTATCGTCTGATGAGCAACAAGAATCTACAGCTGCAGGCTTATGTTACACTGAATTAACGCCATAAAACCGTGCTACCACTGAAAGGGGTTAACCCCCTAAGCCTCCCGTCCCTATTCCTTTCCCGGCGGCCTCTGGCACAAGCCTCACCGCAGCGTTAGTCCCCTGAACTCACAAACACAAAACAGTAACAGCAAAGGGAGGAGCAACGTTATGCCAGCTCAGTGAGCCCAATCAGCCTACCGTGCGGCCGGACAAACACAACACTCAGGTGCGAAGAGCGGGAGAGCAGCAAAGGCAGCGGGACGAGCACGCGGCTGCGGCGGGGGCAGAGGGCAGGAGGCGCCAGATCATCGCCCGGCAGCCGCGCGCTCGCAGGTCGCTCCAGCGG